AGAATCGGTCACGAGACGTCCAATGCCGAAACGAGGGAAAATGGCGAGGTGCGTCGCTTGCGCGACTCGGGACGTTGACTGTAGCCTGGGCACACCGTGTTTCAATTGTGCGACAGAGGGCGAAGAATGTACTCGGCGTAAGTCCCCTGTTAGCGGTATTGGGTCATGAACATCAAACACCAGCCGATACTTCCCACATTGACGCAGGCGGTTGCATTGACTTCGCTGACATTCTGCTCCAAGGTTTCGGCATTCGTACGAACGAGAATGCTTCTGCTTCTGCGCGATCCAGGTCCACCTCACCACAGGAAATGTTTCCTAGTCCCGAACAACCGAGCTTTCCGATGAGGGTACTATGGTCACCGCCGGCCAACCCCTCCTGCGGACAACCGCAGTCAAGAATCCACAGCGTTCTCTTTCAGAACTATTTGCGCCGTTTTGAGGGCCCATTGAAATGGTGGATTGCGAGGCTGAGTTCTGGGCCCACCGATGGCCTGGACGCGGAAGTTGAAGAAGACAAGTCGTCGCCTTCTCTGATTGACATGGCCCAGCAGCTCGACGCCGATTTGATGTCCTGGCATCAAGAGAGTGCCTGGAGCGTGTTGAAAACGGCAATTGCGGCGTTCGGGAGTCAGGGGATTGATCCAAGGTCCGCTAGGTGGGAGCCGAGATACGGATTCGATAATGGCTGTCGGCCAGAATTCTGGGTCAGAGCCAAAGCAGCTATCGATAACAGCCCCGACATCCTTTCCTTTCAGGTCATCCTGGCGAACTTCATACTTGGGATGATCCATCGTCCGTCTTCAGGGCACGATGAGAGTTTCGCCAGTGAGGCGCCGTCGGGAATAGCATTTCCACGTCAAGATAGTCGGCAAGTTGGCAACAGATTCATTCGGCGGGGTATCTCCGATCTCTACCAGTTGATCCGACAATGCAGAGATAGCTCAGCTGCTGGGTTTATCAGCACCAACGCAGGTCAGCAATATCTGAGATCATTCTTCAGTCTCGGTCTGGTGCTGGACACGATCTCAGCCGCAGTTGACGGTCGTCCAGTCCTCATCCACGACGAAGACTGTGCAATCATTCTGGGTGAGAAGTCTGCGGAAGCAAACGTTGAACAGAATTCTGGGCTATGGCAGCTCTCCAACATGCAAATGAAGGAGGTCAAAGTGATCAAAACACCAGATGGGAGACAGACGATAGATTGCCATTCCCGGTTGGGTGCTGAAGGCGCTCCAATCACCACATTGCTCTTCCGCAAAGTTGCGCAGCTTCAAGCTCTGCTCTTCCGACGACGACCAGAATCCGAGCTTGAGACATGTATCCTCGAGGCTGTGGACGTGTACAACCACGGGAACAAGCGATACGGGGGCCTCTCCTCCGATCCGCTCAGCATCTGCGATTCCTCGTACACAATAAATCTGGGGATTCGATGGAACCTGGCCTGTCTCCTTCTGGCTGACGTGACAGAACGGATTGAGCTTGTGATGAAGCCATTGACATTGTCGGAAAAGCTCCGCGCGACTCTCTGGAACATGAGAATGAAAGCGGTCTGCATCATCTCGGGGCTTGCAAGACTATCGACATCGGCATCCGAAGGGGAGCCATCAACAATGCTTATCGGCGAGAAGATCGCCAGCGCCTTTCTGGATGACCCCTGGACCCAGGTCCTCGTCCGCGCTATGCTGCAGGCCTCGAAGGTTTCCGAGGTTTGGCGGAAAGACGGCGATGCCATCAGAACTCCACAAACAACAGATACGCTCTCGCCAAGCGAGCTCAGTTGTCTGGATTGCGTCAAGCGGCTTGGGTCATAGCGGCTGGACGAACGATAGCATGGCACACATGGCTTGCGACATACATCTGGATCGCTGCCAGCCATGCATGAACCCGTCCCGAACCAGAGTCTATGCGCTTTCGAGGTGTTCTTTGTGCAACTCAAGCTTTCTCTTTCCCAGATGCTTTCCACAACATGGCGGCGCAGAGCAAGCACGCCTATCGGCTGGAAGAAAATTGCTGGCCGCCATGACCATTGTATTTGTACTCTTGAAGGCTGCGCCGCCGTATGGCCGCACCTCCGCACCCGATTTTTGGCCCTCATTTATACCATGTATTAAAGAAAGGAGGTATCATGCTGTTCTGGAGCAAATGGGATCGATTGATAAACGACAGGACGGGCGGTGTTTTCTTTGTGTATTCGATCTCTGTATTCGACTGGCGGCCGTGGCAGGTAGAGGATCGGGAAGCAGACGTCCATGGGTTTCGCTGGTTTGGTCGTCTCGCCTCGCCTCGCTCGATTTTCGATGCTGTATGTAACATTGCAGAATTTGTGATCCTGTCAGCAATCTTGCGCCTCATGCCGCTGTTCCAGGAAGTTAGCGTCGGCATGGGCAAAAGACTCATCATGAACCGTTACCACTTACCACTTTCACTTGTGACCGTGTTGTGGGAGCCAGGTATCAGCAGCGTTCCGCTCAGTCTAGCTGCTGCCCCGGTCATTCTAGGGTCATCGGAGGGATTGGGGCACCAGTGGTAGGCGTGTCGAAAGGCATCCTTCACGGTGCTACCACAAGAGTTATCTGTGACCGCTTGGGAATAGCAATTGCCAAGGTCGATACTGAAGATTTGTAGAAGATGCCATCACGCGCCGCGCAGAAACCAATTATGCAAATCGACTTGCGTGACGCCTTGAGGAATATCCCAATATACCACGCCGTCGGCTTGCGAGACACGAAACGCGGTTTGATGACCATGATGTGCTTCCGCTCGCAAAGGGAAGGTAAGACGATAATGCCAAGATGTGGCAAATTCACGGTCAGCTCACCCCTCTTCGGGACGAGAGTGACGCCGCCCTGTGCTCACCGGTTCGCGCGAGCTGGGGGAGTGCGCACCCGTGACTCACCCTCCGTGGGGGCAAAAGGTCGTATCGTCGGGCGTGGATGGTGCAACGCCGGTCGGGCCGGCGTTCTTTTCACCACGATGATTGGCGTCAGGAACGAAAGTAGGTCTCGACAGGAGGCTCGTGAGGAGGACCGAATCATTGTCTAGGCGGCCGCAAAAAGCAGCGTCGCTACCGCTCCGTTTTCGACCTTAGTGTCCCCGCTTGACCTGAGCTGGAAAGGCGGCTTCTTACGCCATTGACCGCCTACCACTTTCGGGTTAGGGAGCGTAAATTCTGCCGCTTCTGAGGGTATGTAGATGGGATGCCGACCCTCGCTGCTTTTCCTCCCACCTACGACAAGATAAGTCCCTCCACGACGACGATCTCTCTGCCCTCTGCTGGCTTTGCCCCGAGAGCCAACTCGAGCCGACCCTAGCGCCACCCGTTATGCTGCGAGGCACGAGTTCCTCCCTTGACGTCCCTTTTCGAGCGAAATCAAGAGGCCTGCTCGATCCCCTGTCGCTGTCGTGGATCGTGCGCCCTCCCACTACCCTCTCGATTCTCCTCCCCGGCATCAGTGAAGCCGACGTCCTCTTTCATATCGTCGCCGCCATGCACGAACCACGAGCTCCTTTCCCCGATCGGCCACGTGCGATCTCGCCATGCACCCAAGTGACGATGGCTCTACATCCTCTCCCCCCATATCAGCCTCTTGTCGACGACCGGCCACCGGCTGCACGAGGTCACTGTCTATATTGATGCAGCTAAGCGAGTCAGTCCCACGGTACCAATTGTCGATCGTACCCTCTTAGCCAACTTGTTGAGCTCAAACTCAGGGATTCTCGCCCTGCATGCACACTGCAGGACCACGCTTGGCCTGTCGAGACACACGATCCCTTGGATTCTTCGATGTGAGCCAATGAAAGAGATATCTCCTGAGATGGCCTTCATATGGGTGAGACAATGGGAGAGCTGAGACGCGCAAACAATCCTCCACGCATCGCCACCAGGCTGAGCCCTGATCCCCTCCAAACTCGATGCCTAGCTTGCGAGGGCTATTGGCAATGAACTGATGGGGCTAAACTTGGATTCTGCCTCGCCCGAGGCTAACGTGTCAGGCGAAGCTGCATTCGGATGCAGGAAAAAGAGAGCAATCGAGAAGGAGGGGTCGGGGTGGGGCGTGCAGCAGGCACGAACAGCGACGGACGCCTGCGAGCGTTGCCCTTTCGGACCCCTCAATCCTTCGGCCTGTCCAGGCTCCCACCGTAGAAGCAGCTGGCACTGCCTGGTGTATCTCAATGGAAATACCAGCTGCAACTTTGGGCCGTTCTGCCCCCCGAAACGAGCGAGTGGGAAAGCTTTCAAGATCAGGAGCTGCGATGGCATGTACGAACTGTCGTTCAAGTTCCTCGGTGGTGGTTACCTGAAGCTGAGAGTCAACCGAGAAATGGTGTTCATAAATCCATACAGCGCGAGCTTTCCAGCTCCTCCCGCGGCTGCTCCGGAAGTGTTCGAGTTCGTTGGCATCAGGCGCGATCGCGAGAAGGAGAAAGCGGAACGGCAGGAGAGAATGACAAGTCCACGCCGCTCGCCATCGCCCCGCGAGAGCTGGTTTGAGATCAACCATCCTATGGGATCTTGAAGCATCCAATAAGCCCAACTAAGCGGGAGGATGTCTTTCTGGCGAAGACATCATGGCCGGCGTGCTAGACCTTGACGGTATGTGCAATCCCGTCTGTGGAAAAGAAAGCTGACCTATTGGGAGACAACTATAGGATTGACTTGGACGGTATCGAGGTAGATTAGTTATGGTATCGATTCTCGTGGAACCAAGGGTCTTGGAGTAAACAGTTATGACGTAGATTATATTAGAATAACTAGACGTAGGGTCGATTAATGTAGGAAAAGACACTGGAATAAATTTCTACAGAATAACATTGTGTACATTCAGTGGTCGTAACCTTGATTGCACGAGAAGAAAATGTCATACAGTGAGGCCCAGCTCAGTCCAGGCAAAAGCCACTGTGGCTTGGCTAGCCTGGCCGCAACGAACGAGTTCAAACCAACACGCTTCGGAAGAGGCACAAAAACGTCCACTCCTACTTCCCGCCTTTCACGCTTGACGAGCCTGGCAGAACTAAAGGATACCGCTATCGTCATATCGATCTCTGTCTTACTTCTCAACCCGTCCAACCTCGGACAGCCGGGGATCGCCTTGTGCGTCCAGACACAAAGAAATCCCACAATCGTCTATAGTATCATTTTATCGGTAAGAAGCGAGCAAGATACTCGAAAGAGAAATGGTCGTGGTCTGTTAATGTGGTGATTAACCAATATTATTCGTAAGGATGGTCAATATCAAATACGTGAATGTTTAGGCACCATGAAGGCACCTTGCGAGCTGAGTATCAACGCCCCAGGATTGAACCGATAAGGGTAGATCTTGCACATCTTGTCGAAGATCTCCTTCTCATTCTTGGGGTCAGACGCGAGAACCTCACCAAAGTCTTGGATATACTTTCTTGTCGACTCGATGTGCCAAACACCGTCGATTTCCTCCGCACGCTTATGGCCTGGCACAACGTAGGAGGGATTCAATGCCTCAACCCTGTCGATGGCTCGCAGCCATTCCTCCCGCTTTGCCTTTGTATTCGCCTCCATCAACATCTGATGGACCTGCCCGTAGATGACATCCCCGCACACGGCGAGTTTCAGCTGCGGAACCCAGAGAACTGTCGAGTCATGTGTATCGCTGTGGCCGCATTCCACGACCTGGAAATGCCATGTGTCGCCGAGCTTAAATTTGAGGTTCCATTCATCAGGAATTGGGGTCGCAAGTTTGAATGGCTTGGGGATATCGTTGGGAAAACGCGACTCCCATATCTCCTTGAAGTATTTTTCCTCGATTTGTTGCTCCATATGCTTGACTGTACCCAGTGTAGCAAGGGGAACGGCCTCCGGGAAGCGCTGCAGGATGATGGGAATCCCGAACCAATGATCGCCATGACCATGGGTCACATAAATGTACCGCAGCTGTCTCTTCGGCGCGATGTCTTGGATCCAATCAAGCAAAGCATTGGTCTGCTGAACGGTGATCGGCGTGTCGACCAGAACCATCTCAGTCTCTGAGTAGATCAGAGTACAAGATATCGGAGACCATACCGCCCCGGGGAACCCAGGGATTGGAATTGGCGGAGCCACGTAGACTGCAGACCTCAAGGTAGACATTATGGAAATTGGGATTTCGTACTATTTTGCGGTAGAATCTCTGAGAAATTATCAGAGATGGCTGTGACACAGATAGATATCTTGTAGGGGACGAAGTGGGCAAATATGAGTGCTTTTAATCTGTCAAGGGAAACCCCGTAATATGACAGCAATGCTCCCCCCCCTTCCCTCCCCAGAATCCTCTCTTGACTAGATGCGCCGCTTATTCGTTCACCTAGAATTAATTTACCCGATGATTCGATTTCGCTAAACGGAGGGTTATTCCTCGGCAGAGAGCATGGAGAATTGGCAGTCGGAGCTTGTTAGTCACCAGGACCGAAGGCCGCAACAAGCCAGGAGTCGGACAAATGACGCCCCATGGGCTGTCCATATCCGATGGCAGGTCACTGTCTAGGTCGTGTTTTGCACAGGTTTATTGACTACGTTCCTCGGTCAAAGTGATGGGCCCGGAATGATGACACACATTGGCCGGGCTTCTTTTCGTATTATTTCACAGCGAACAACAAGGTTTTCTGCTTGTGGGGTTAAGCTCCTTTGACTCTGTAGTGTAGTTGATGGTGGAGAAGAGGACAGGAAGAAGAGACCGAAGCAAAGTACAGAGAAATAGTTACAGCTAATGAGTCGCACAATGGAAACACGTCAGTTGATCTTTCACTTGACACATTTGATACATTTCTCTGTAAGACTTCGTACGAATAATTTACGAGCCCAATGTCACCAGCCTAGAATTTTATGATTTTTTCATAATATCCCTCACGGTCCGAGATTAATCATGCACTCCGCAAAAGATGATTGCGCACAGAAAGTATGTAGATCACTTTATTCGACAGAAGTTAGACAAGAACTACCCTTCCGCCTAGACATGTGTGCCCGAGGGATCGTACCATCCTTTCTGTCCCTTTCACCAGAGCTAGAACGTTGGCAACTTCCAACGCGAGTCATCCTACTAAAGTCAGTGTGCAACCATACAATCTTGGATTTTGGTTTGGTTTCAACTTACAAAGTAACCTTGCTGCCGGAGGAGATCCTCCTCCTCCTGCGCAGTGAAACCATCACGCTCCACCCATTTCTTGAAAAGCTCCGTCCCAAATCCTGGCACAGCCATGCCTTGTAGTCGCCAGAGGTCAGGCGGGGTCTCGTGGACGTTGCTCTCCCACCTGATGTCCTTGGGTCTTAAGACAGGGCGAAGAACGTCGTCGAGGGCCTTGAGAAACATTTCGCCCTCTTCGGGATTGCGGATACTGGCCGCAGCATGATAGATACCGATAGTGCAGGAGTGGTGGTCCGGCTGCTTACCGCCAGACCAGAAGCTGCCTTGGTCTAGCTCAACGAATTGGCAGTGGGCAAAGAACCCCGGGAGACCGAAAGTTGTGTAAATGTTCGCCATGCCTTTAGCGATCTTCTCCTTGTCCTCGATGCTGAAGGCGTCTTTGGTGTGATGGAACAACCACAGAGGCATGATGAGATTGTCAACGGCGATAGTGTGTAGAGAATTGTGATATGTAAGTGACTTTTCTTTGATACTCCTTGTTGCTCCTTCTTCCTCCTGCCAACTCGTGTAGTTAGCAGTATTTATGCATTTGCGCTCGAGCAGATTGTGAACGCGCATGCCTCGGTAGCTCTCCAAGCCCTCCTATCATTCACGTAAGACATCCGACGGAATAAATGCACTTTGCAATCCAGTGATCCACGGAAGCCTACTTGCCTTGGCTGATGCAGTACAATTACCATCTCCTTGGATCGATCCATAGTTCGTCATGCTGGGAGTACCAGAGCCAACTCTTACCCACGCATATTCTGGGTACGTAAGTGGGTCCGTGATTACTATTCAAAGACCCTTCTAACCTGGCCGATGTCTGCTGACCTTCCCATTTGTTACACACTGCATCAGAAGCGGAATTCCACTCCTCTTTGCCAATGATCCGAGTATCTTGTAGTGATCACAACCAAGCGTGGAATAGGGGCATACCGAGGCTTGAGGTAAAACAAACGGGCGCTCGGGTCATTGTGGTTCATCTTGTATCATCACAGGTGGCGTACGAGTGCCATGACTCGGCACTGGATAGAACAAAATGGCCTACCCAAGCCTGTAGCCAGTTGTGCCAAAAGAGACATGTGAAATGGCAGAACGGGAGACGACTTCGAAAGCAGAGAATTTCCAGTCGCTAAGTTTAGTGAAAGGTAAAGTCCTAAGTCGCACTCTATAAAATTACAGTAGCGAGTAAAAATCTATAAAAATTAGTAGTTATACCGAGGGTACAGTAATAGTTACACCATCATATATATAAAACGGTATAGGTCTACGTACTCTAGAATAGCGTAATCTATCTTAAACCTATCATATAGAGCTTCATACACCTTTAAATAAATATATATTTAAGCTTGATATATATAGAAATCTATAGTAGATTTATTATAAAGATTAAGAAGAACTTTAAGATGTTTATAAATAAGGAATTATCGCTAGAAGAGCCTTCTATAGTAGCTATCAATAACCTTAACTTTAAGCCTTAAGATCTTTACTATTAATATTATTACTTATAAATAAGATATTATATAACTAATATAATAAGTAATATTACTAGTATTAGACTACTTACCTAACTAGAGGGTGAATGTATATACTATAGGATCAATAATGATAGATAACTAGCCTATAGATAGAGATGTTAACGCTTAAAGAAGGCTTTAAGGTTAATAGGTATGACCCCTCTTACTATATACATACGGTAAGCTAGCTACTTAGCTAGCGGCCTAACTCCTTAGTTAGTAGCGTAAGCTAAGTATCTAGTGTCACGTGGGTGTTCGTGATAGAAAGGTATATAACTCGATCTTCGTAGTAGTCTATAGATACTCTAAGATAGTTAAGTTAATTTTATATTACTTATATATCGAGATATCTAAGTTAGCGTAGTTATTTAATAACGAGATCGTATCTAAATAAGACGTTCCTTAATTAATCATAAGCGATAGAGGCTTCTTATTTATATCTAGATATTAGAGAATCTTCTATTACTAGCTTACTATACGTAAGTATTTATCTATATCTTATTACTTATAAATAGATAAGTAAATAAAGTAAATAAACTAAACGTTAAAAGCGTACTTATATTATTATATTAATTATTCTTCAGACGATTAGACTTTCTTATTATTTAAAGTTAAATTTACCTATAATAGCGTAGTTAACTAGATAATTAAAACGTCTTTATTTTAGATATATTATCGCTATTTATTAACGATATATATAAATATAGTAAGAGAAGAGTAATTAAATCAGAATATCTAAACTTAAGCGATAATTACTTATAATTAAGAAGTAAAAGTCTAAGTTAAGGACCTCTAATAAAAAGCTTAATAATCTATTAAATAGTTTTATGATCGCTATTATAAAACTATTAAATTTAAGAAAGATAATTTTATACGACTCTTAACGCGTAATATTCGTACGTAAAGATCTAACGTAAAGCTTATTAATAAGTTTTTAAGATCTTTTTATATTCTTATAAAGGTTAAAAGTAATACTTATTATTTAATACTTCCTACGAAATATTAAGATTTATATCTAATATTTTACGTCTCGCTTTTTAAACCGTTTTATATTAACCTAATTAAATATCGCTATAGTTAGAGAATATTAATAACGACTAATTTTATAAATTAGAGGAGATATTAAGTTCTCGTACGATAAAAGGTAGTGAAAAGTAATATTTACTTAAGTAGAAAGAGTATAAGTTTAAGAAAGACTCGTATTAATTTATAAAGAATCTATCTTTAGAACTATCAAAATAAATCGAATAAATAGATAAGAAAGAAAAGTAATAGAAATAATTTATTTAATTCTTCTTATATTAAGGCGGGAAGTCCGCTAGAATTCTATTATTAATAGTAGAAAGAAGCGTATAAGACTTAAGAAAAGTAGGGAATAGAAAGAGAATAAGACTAATATCTATTAATTAGTTAAGGATATCTATATCGTTATTATTACCCTCGCTATTATTACCCTCGCTATTATTACCCTCGCTATTATTACCCTCGCTATTATTACCCTCGCTTTTATTACCCTTGCTTTTATTACCCTTGTTCTTATTAACTCTAACATACATAAGCACATAGTGCTGCCAGCTATATGTTGTAAGTCATTTGGTCAAGAACAGACTTAGATAAGGACGTATCAATCCAGCAATAACAGTATACAATATCCACAAAACCAATTTTT